GTCCCTTTTTTTCAGTGTCTTTAGATGTGGATGGAAAGATATGTAAACTGTTTTGTGGATCTTTTTCTACTCTGGCTCTCTCAGGTAATTTAAAATATTCTATCATCAAGTGTTTTAGGTCCTAAAAAAATTATAAACAAGTCTGATACAAGATTAAAAGAATGAAGAAACAAGCTTACATTTTCTGAATGATAACGAAAACCTCATAATATTTTAACAGCGTTCCATCCCCCCCTCTTGTTATAATATTAGAGTTACATGTAATCATCTGGAACACTGCATTTGGTGAAGATATGGTGAGTAGAACTAGGTGATTAGTGGTAATTCCTAATCAATTAATCTGCCCCATTAATTGATTAGTACAGTATTCATCAAACCATGGTTACATACAAGCAAAAAAAAAGTTAATGGTTGGTGCTGTCAGCCATTTTCCTCCCCTCTAGTCAACAGTTCAAGATGAAAACAAGTTGACAGGATGATGCCATGCAATCCACTAACACTGAGTTCTTGTGCAAAATGAGTGTACTGACTTACAGGCCTGTATTTAATTAATTCGACAAACTCTAATGATGAGCTATATTAGATGCGTTTAGTGGTGTGTGCTTTTTCAAATAATGGGTAATAATTTAAAACATGATCTAACACATTGTTCATACATGAGACAAGTAAGTTTCTTAAACCTCAAATTACTGATTTGTTTATAAGTCATTCAGTACTGGTATGGTCCTTGTATTGTAATACTGAGTAGCTTTCTGTTTATAACACTTTTATAATGAACTGTCCAAAGAAATTGACTGAAATCACTCACTTTTTATGTAAAATAAATAGGAAACATTATCAGTAATTAATGGGATTAATTGTAATATTGATGGTATTTTTTTGTATGTTATTTATAGGGACCCTTTAACCCACAAGCAATATGGACCATAAATAGTTCATAGAAAAATTTGTTTGAAATTTAGATGTTGACCTTATGGACATGATCGGTAATTATAGGGTTAATAAAATATAAGAATTTAACCTTGAGGATCATAGAATTGTGAAAGTATTTTCAGTTTGAGAAATGGCTATGAACACAAGGCTAAGCTGTTTTGTAGGTATATTTTCAGTTTGAGAAATGGCTATGAACACAAGGCTAAGCTGTATTTGTAGGTATATTCTCAGTTAAGAAGCTTAAATTTTTCAACAACAAAAAGTATCATGACACATGTACTATGACTACAGACCATGTTATCAAATAAACCATTATGAAGTTAAATTTGTTTAAAAATCTGGATTAAATCTTCAAGTAAGGAACTGTAGCATTTAATTATATTGACTCAAATCAACAAAATATCTAATCAAAATGTTTTTAAAAACCTAGTAGTAAAAATATTGTAAAAATGATCATATATGGACAATTTGGGCTATGGACAGACACTCATTTTGCTGTATGTGTGGCAACAAATCCAGGAAAAGCAAACTTAAATTACACTAATAAGATAGCTTACTTACTCTCTTCTTAGCTTGTAATTTAGATTCACTTGTGTTCAGTTGCTTGGTGTAAGATAAATTGTATATCAAACTGTATACTAAATGTGTGTTGTTCCTACTGTACATGGAGCTTAAGACCACACATACAGAAGTGTGTTTTCCAGTTTTTTAGCTTTTGTCTCTACTTGTATACATGCCTTTATCTACTATCAATACTTTCTATGATAGTTGATGCAAAGTATTGGTTGTAGTAGAACATGAGAAACTGTCCTCTAATTTGTTTCTCTGAGACTTTATGTGTGTGTATGTTTCAGATAGAGGAAAGCTATATGGTTGGGGAAGCAATACCAAAGGTCAGCTTGCTCTGGATCCTTCTGTGGTAAAGGAGACTGTTAAACCACAGAAACTACCTTTAGAGAACATATCTGGTCTTCATTCAGGTTGGACACATGTGGTTGCTAGAACATGTAAGTGTGTATATGTTCAACAGATACTTGCTTCGGTATTTTAGGAGACTGTTAAACCACAGAAACTACCTTTAGAGAACATATCTGGTCTTTATTCAGGTTGGACACATGTGGTTGCTAGAACATGTAAGTGTGTATATGTTCAACAAATATTTGCTTCAGTATTTTCATATTCTTTGTGCTTGACATTTCAAAGATAGATTCCATGAGACACAATAAAAATTTCACTTAAAATTTTGTTCTATATTTGTAAATATCAGATGAACATTTCTTCCTCTTACTAGTTAGTCTTTGTTTAAATTCCATCTCTGTGTTCTCAGTATTTCATAATATGCAGCCTGTTACCAGGTGAACATTACATTCTTTAACCATCAGGTCTAGTGGAACATGACAAGCAAAAAACAATCATCCTAACCCAGAAATAATTCTAACAGGTACAAACTTTTTTTATAGTTATGTATGACAAGGAATGCATGGTGATAAACTAGAACAACCCTCTTTTGATTTAAAAGTTCATTGTGTTTTAGGTTTAAATTTGAAGTGGCTAGCAGGATATAATTAAATTTGTGTTTTGAGCAGGATCTTTAAGTTATCAACAAAACATTATCCACTAAAAGAATTGACCATGTATCCATAGTATACTACTTTTAATAGTGCATTTCTTTAACTTTTCTTGGCTTTGTCACTTTTATTTTTGTAAAAGTGACAAAGCATATGTGAGATTATGGTATTCAGGTTTACTGATAACCAACAGATAACTTCAAAAAATCTTACAGGTTTTTAGGCATATTTCATTAATTATTAACACAATAGTGGCCAGAGGGTGCTTGAGGATAAAGCAATCCTCTTTCACCCTGCTCATGATAATTGGTTAAAGAGCTATCTGGAATAAAAAAAATATGCAGGCACAAACACATAGACATGTATGCATATATACACACAAAATGATTCAGTGTTGGGGGAAAGAGAGGGATGCTGAATGAAGGCAGGTAAGGCCATGAGCAGTCTTGTCAACTTTCAACAAACAGCAGCTTTTGAGGGTGGGCTGGAATCTATCGATCCAATGCCACACAATTTTGATGCGGGGAAAACCAGAATACCAGGAGAAAACACACTTTCACTAGCTGGAACCAAACAGAAGTCCAGCAAGTGCCCAAGATTTTATCTGAAAGGGAAGAAAGTGGTTACTGCATGGTAGGTTTACATGTTATGAAAAGGTTTAGGAGTACTACATGTTAATGTGTTCTCCCGTATTAGGAGTTGTGTAGCATGTTATGTGGAGAGAGGTATCTCATCCATGAGGGTGGGGAATTGTGAAGTGAGTGTATTTCTGTTTTTGTCTTTTCTGTAAAATGTTTTAGTTATCTTTCTTTAAGTGTAGGCAAAATGTTATTAATATAATGCATGTGGGTATAAGAGGGTAGTCGCAGGGCCATACGATTTACCTGGTTTTGTAGCATTGGTCGCTGGTGAAGCGTGTTATTGTCCGTGTTGCACGTGATCATGGCACCATAGTCTATAATAGGTCAGATGAAAAGTTTGTAAATATGTACTATTATGTGAGAGTTGCATCCGTGAATATTACGTCTTGTCTTGTGAAGGTAACTGATTCTTGTACTTATTCCACAATATTTTATATTTTCAGTAGTTTTAAGTGTGTGTCTACTAGTTTTAGGGTTGTTTTCCAATACCCTTTGTAATCTATATCAACTTTAGTACATGAGATATCTAGAGATCCAATATCATTTGTAATGTATATAAACTTTAGTACATGAGATATCTAAAGATCCAATATCATTTATAATCTATATCAACTTTAGTACATGAGATATCTAGAGATCCAATATCATTTATAATCTATATCAACTTTAGTACATGAGATATCTAGAGATCCAATATCATTTGTAATGTATATCAACTTTAGTACATGAGATATCTAGAGATCCAATATCATTTATAATCTATATCAACTTTAGTACATTAGATATCTAGAAATCCAATATCATTTATAATCTATATCAACTTTAGTACATGAGATATCTAGAGATCCAATATCATTTATAATCTATATCAACTTTAGTACATGAGATATCTAGAGATCCAATATCATTTGTAATGTATATCAACTTTAGTACATGAGATATCTAGAGATCCAATATCATTTATAATCTATATCAACTTTAGTACATGAGATATCTAGAGATCCAATATCATTTATAATCTATATCAACTTCTGTAAATTAGATCCTTTACCTTTTCTCAAGTAATTAGATTTTAATTAAATTAGTGATATCATGAGCTTCATACTCACAAGTTTGTTAAAATTATACTGAAATTACTAGCACATATTTCCAATATTACAAAAAATATTTAACATGAGAAAATGTTATTGACATACCAAATGAATTTAATGAGACCTTAAAGTTACTCAAAAATCAATTGAAAGGGATAGATCTGAATAATATCATTAGTTATTTTGTGTTTTCACTGAACTTGTATTATTACATATTGTTTTTTAGCCATTGGCCTTTAATTCTGACTTTATGTTTTATAATTATAAATATGTAATATCTTAAGCCTTTATACAAATACTATTCAGTGCCACCTTAACAAAAACACCTACTGTTACTAATAAAGATATGGCTGTCGTACATTCTCTTTAATTAGACTGTGAACTAATATTAACAACGTAGTTTGAAAACATTTACCTTTAAAACAGCAGGAGGAAAGTTATTGAGTTGGGGTCGAGGCGACTACGGTCAACTAGGTAGAAGTTGTCCAGAGAAAGGTTTTTGTTGGGAACCTCAAGAGGTGGAAGAATTACCTTCAGTTATCCAGGTATTTTGTAGCTATTATTTTGATTAAATTAATAATAAGACATTTACACAGAGGTACAAACCAATAAGGAGAACGTTTTTAACAAACTTGAACACTAGCTAAGAGGATTTAAAACTATATGAAAGGCTTAGTTAAAAAACAAAACAAATAACAATAACTGTGGTGTAGCACACAAATAGTGTAAAGATTACTCCATCTCTAGCTACTTAACCCTTTCACAACGAGAGCCCCTTTAAACACATATAATCAATTAGAAATATTTTTTAAAAGATGAGACTTGTGTGCTCAAGCCCTCGGCTTAACCACACATCCACCATTCAAAGTCAATTGTGGGTATGGTTGTTACCATTTAAAAACCATATTGGGTAATAATCCTGATATTATTGAAATATTGCTATTAACTAATAAACAAAATAGAATTACAGCACCTTCCAGTATAGTTTGATGTCTAGCAATATAACACCCTACCATCATAACACAACAGAACTATGATATCCATATATAGGTCGATAATAACACTTCCTAATATATTTTGTCAAAAAATATCTAAGGATATAAAGTATCATTAAAGCTGTGTGGGTACTACTAATACTTGATACACACTGTTTGTTAATTCACAAATTTATTATAAATATATATCACTTTAAGTTGCAGTAACAGTTGCCGTAGTGATAAATGTTTGTATTGTTGCCAAATAACTTTATTAGTGATGGGGAAACTCAAGTCTAGAATGTATGTATTTTCCCATGTTGGAGGTAGAGTAAAGCCAGAATACAACTGACAGTGTTTAGTTTAGTTTAGTTGCTACAAAACTAAAGTTTTCAATTATGTATCATCTGTGTTGTTTTCCTCAGGTTTGTGGAGGCTCAGAACACAACATGGCTCTTACTTCAGGTTTGAACATTTTTTATTGGATCTTAAATGACACATGCATTCTAGTTCCAGTTAGTTTTTTTGGGTGGGGGGGATTTTGTACGTAGTATATATATATATATATATATATTATTGTTCAGTTTACATTGTTTTAAAATATGTTGAATGTATATTCAGTATCTATGTCATAAATGTATATCCTTTAATCACATTTGCATACTTTTCAGTTTAAAAATTTAACGATATGCTCGTATGGCTACTATCACTAACTAGAGTTTGTTTCATTAAAAATTGTTTATTTGTAATTAAGATATCTGACTGATGAGGTTTTCATGTAAATATTAGATTTGTGCTGACAAGTCAACATTTCTGAAAGGTCCTTTTTCTACCTTACAACCAAATTTCGTGACACCTTTTCCTTAAGTTTGCAGAGACAATAAACGAAGCATTTGATTATTTGTGACAGAACCCTTGGCCTTAGCACTTTATAAAAAGTCAAAGTATCCTAACAGCCAACAGTTAAGGTCATAGCAACACTTTACTATTGGGTAGATGTTATGCAATAGACCAGAGTTTTGTATTTAATTCAAATTACTTCATTTCTTATTGTTAAATACCACCTTATTGAAGAGACTTCAGATATCTGCACATACAGTGAATTGTAATATACCAAATTCTACTTTTATTTTGTCATATCTTTATTTTCCATTTAGTTCAACTATGAATGTTTAGTTATATTAAAGCACTAACTCACCTTCTATCTAGAGCAAGTTGATTTTGAGTATGTATGTATGTATTATGAAACTACTAGGGTATAGTCTGTCAAAAATGATGGGATAAATACTACCACCCCCACCTCATAGTATACCCTAACCTCACATTTCATAACTAACTGAAATATATAAATTTTGCAAAATCGAGCTTGACCAGCAAAGAGGCAGAAAGGTGTACTGGAGGCAGTCAACTGTTGGTAAATTCCTTTGTGAGCCAATCAAAATTAAGATCATTCATAAAATGAATTCATGGTGTATTCATAGGATAATTATTGGTAAAAAGCAGTTAGATTAACAACTTCTAATATATAGAAAAGCCAGTGTGTTTTGGTAACACTATATTCCAACAATGGCCTTAATGTCATGTTGCTTAGAAACAAAAGTATAACCTAATATTGTTGTTAGTCTATGTACTGAAAATATAAAATGAAATGTACAGACAACAAAACTGGAACAATATTTGTTGATTTCTTAATTTAGAGTCTCTGTTGATTAAAAGATGTTTGTTTTTTTACTAAAAACGTTGGTGATATAACAGAAAATAGCTTAATTCAGAAACGATTTAAACTTAAAATTGAATCAATATGTTTACTTTAATGATA